CTCCCTTTACTTCCTCTCTTTCCTCAGGCACTGTTGGAGACTGGAAAAACCTCATGACAGTAGCACAGAGTGAAAGGGTTGATGAAGTTCTGAAAAAGAAAATGGAGAGTCTGCCCATCAAATTCMTCTGGGATATTAAYGAKAAGRTGTAGGCTGCTTTCCTGGGTCATCATCYTTTGCTGTTCAGAGTGGATGTACAYGTTGGGTGTTGTGAAAGAACAAAGCACACTAATTTCCAGCTGCATTGTGAAAATAAAAGTTCTGTCAGCTCATTCACAGTATAYGACTAGACCAAGGAGGCATCTCAGTTACACCAGTTTCCTCTTGGAAGCTTCAGAATTTGGCTTAGCTTATTGTTGTTGTGATAAACTACATCTTGATTCCTCTGTACTCGCTTTTATTCTCACTCTCCTTTAATAAATCTAATGCTAGACAACCAAGTAAGAATTGATCCACCTATGGAACATTGCTAAAAGTATGCTGAAAAATTTAACATCTTTTTTTTGTGTGTGCGCATTTCTCTAGTAGACAATATGCTATAATATCCACAGATAATAATACTTGCTGCAGTGTGTATCTGCTGAAATCCTGCTGCTTGGATTAGTGGGGATATAGAAATAAAACTACATGATCACTGCATCTTCCACAGACAAATCCATCTTGTAGTATTTTGTRTTTTTTGGAGTTATTTTGTACTTTTTTTTTTGTCAAAATATTATAGTATCACATAGGATCACATTGGATCACACTGTTGTGATCTCTTGGACTTTGTTATAAGCCTTGCCCTTTCTTTCTAAACACATTTCTTTCTAAATACATTTCTTGATGTATTTAGTAGGAACACATGCAAAATGGCTTGGGATTCCATGTGCCTAGTGTAGGCATCTACTTTACACCTCAATGCTAGAATACAAGTAGGCAGGAGACGTGCCTTTGGCCAGTGTTTGCATAGGGAGCCTTACAATTTCTTTTAAGTAACATCAGGTTGCTAGCAATGTGGAAGTTTGTACAATGAAATTAAGATTAGTATGAACAGAAATGTCCCGGTGTGAAAGTTCCAGTGGAGACAGCCAGAAGAAGGGTTTAAGAAGAGGAGATATGAATGGCATGCTGGAATCTCGCCCCTGGTCATAGCTTGTCAAAAATTGTAGCAAAAGAAATTCTGAGGAGATGYAAGGAAAACATTTTCAGAGTGCATACAGTGATCCCCTGGAATGGATAGTCAGAGAGGTTGTGGGATCTACRTCCTTGGCCATTTTGGAAACTCAGTTGGATGAGGCCCTGAGCAACCTGCATTTTCTTTAAGTATAGCACTGCTTTGAGTAGGAGTTTGGTCTAGGGTTTTCGACATGTCCCTTTTCTCTGGAATGCTTCTCTGTTTCTAATGACTCCCAAAGGAGATTCGGAATGAAGAGGCCAAAGATCACCACCTTTCTCAAATCCTAAGAGATAGAGAAGGCACATACCAAATCCAACACCAGGTTGCCAACAAAAACTTCCAGCAGGTATGATGAAGATTTGATAGCCAGAGTATCTCATCCTCTCTGACCTTACAGGGGATCCAGGCCAAACTCTTGGCACACAAATGCCTTGGCTCATGTGGTTGGGTGTTTTGGAAGGAAGAAACATGAGTTACATAAAAATTGTTAAAATCCAACAACTACAATACCTTTCCCCTCCCATGTAGTCTCACACTGAACTTTGACCAACAGCAGCTGACACCCGAAAGGTAAGTGTATGTTAGGAAATCGGGCACCACTATCAGTTATCAATGTTGCAATGTTTTATTGTCCTGAAAAAATGATACATATGGAAACTACATTTAATTAACTGCAAAGAGATATTGATTCAGATTCATGTTGACAAGCAGGGACAAACAAAGATGCTGAGAAAGCTGCTGTGACACCATGCTCATTGCTCTTTTATTCCCTGGAGTTATGAACCTGAGGGTAGAAATCAAGCTTTAGGATCAACAGATATTGCCTTTATGACACTCATATACCTTTCAAAATAGATACTCAATTACAAAAAAGAAAAGAGATGGAGGACAGCAAAAAAGASAAAACATGTTTATCTGTCACCGCGAGGCTTTTCTCTATGCTGAAAACAAAAATCAACTTTCCTCCTCTTCTGGCTTATTCTTACGCTGTCCCACCCAACC